TCAAAAAGAACCGTCAAATACTGTGCTTACAGCTAGTGATGTCGCGAACATAAAATTTTCTGTTTGCGAACGCGAACTTCCGCAAATGTTCGCGAACGGGCGAACCACCATAGACTTCAATAGGCAGGCGAATTTTAAAACCCACAGGGACTCTTTCTGGCCACAATAGTGATGGAAAAGTTGTTTCATGGGGACTAACACTTGGACTGTGGCATGCCGGAGGGGGATCCATGGCAAAACTCCCATGGAAAATTACATAGTTGATGCAGAGTCTGGTTTTAATCCATAAAGGGCATAAATCACTTAACATTCCTAAATTGTTTGGAATAATGTGCTTTAAAACATCAGGTATGATGTTGTATCGATCAGGTAGTGTAAGGGTTACGCCCGCTTCACAGTGACAGACCAAACTCCCCGTTTAACGCACCGCAAACAACCGCAAACTCCCCATTTGCACAAGGTTGGATACCAAGCTAGCCATGTCCCATTCCTTGTCCTCACTGATGTCATTGAAGGTCTCTTCCTCCACCCAGCCACGTACAACACCAAGGGTCCCCAAAAGGTGACAACAAGCCCCCTGGGACGCCTGCTGTGTTTGGTCTTCCACCTCCTCAAAGCCATCTTCCTCCTCTGACTCCTCTTCTTCAGACTCCTCTCTTTTCGTTGCCTCTCTCTGCATTATTATAAGGTGTGTTAAGTAGTACTATTCTTATCAGTTTAATCCCTGTTACGTCCCCTATCAGGGGACGTGTATATGGCATCGATTTTAGGAACCGGGAGATGGAAAAAGATGCTTGGTCGGTCCTCCTACTTCAAATTTGGGGCACTGCGCGTGCAATCTAATGTGCCACCAGATAGGAGTGGTGTGTTAAGTAGTACTATTCTTATCAGTTTAGTCCCAATATCACGACTACTAGTGTGGTCCAGCACGCAGAAACTATGTAAACATATACATAGGCAAGAAAAGGAAAATAAAAGGACAGAGCGTAAACCGGACCTTAGAATGGCCGGACTAATACGCTAGAGACAGAGAATGGTCAAAGGGAAAGCCGAGGTCAAGGAAGCCAGAAAATACACAATACCGTTTACACAAGCCAAGTCAGAGAAACCAGAATTCAGAATAACCAGGGAAAAGCCAAGATCAGGATACCAGGAAATCAGATTCACAATGATAAAGCACTCTCACCCTGTTACATCCCCCTCATCAGGCCTTTATTTATTCGAATCTATCGCCCACTGTCAGTCCCTTTGGGATCCATCCCTCATTCATTTTAATAAAGGTGAGGTAATCTAGACTTTTTTGACCTATGCGACTTCTCTTCTCAGTGACAATACCTCCTGCTGCACTGAAGGTCCTTTCTGACAGGACACTTGAAGCGGGGCAGGCCAGAAGTTCTATCGCAAATTGGGATAGCTCAGGCCACAGGTCAAGCCTGCACACCCAGTAGTCAAGGGGTTCATCGCTCCTCAGAGTGTCGATATCTGCAGTTAAGGCGAGGTAATCTTCTACCTGTCGGTCGAGTCGTTCTCTGAGGGTGGACCCCGAAGGGCTGTGGCGATGCGTAGGACTTAAAAAGCTCTGCATATCCTCCATCAACAACACGTCTGTAAAGCGTCCTGTCCTTGCCGGCGTGGTCGTGGGAGGAGGAGGATTACTTTCACCTCTTCCCCTGTTAGATTCCCGTTGTGCTGTGACATCACCCTTATACGCTGTGTAAAGCATACTTTTTAATTGATTTTGGAACTGCTGCATCCTTTCCGACTTGCCGTAATTCGGTAACATTTCAGGCACTTTCTGCTTATACCGGGGGTCTAGTAGCGTGGACACCCAGTACAGGTCGTTCTCCTTCAGCCTTTTTATACGAGGGTCCCTCAACAGGCACGACAGCATGAAAGACCCCATTTGCACAAGGTTGGATGCCGAGCTACTCATGTCCTGTTCCTCATCCTCAGTGATCTCACTGAAGGTATGTTCTTCCCCCCAGCCACGTACAACACCACGGGTACCAGATAGGTGACAACGAGCACCCTGGGATGCCTGTTGTGGTTGGTCTTCCTCCTCCTCCTCAAAGCCACATTCCTCCTCTGACTTCTCTTCCTCACAATCCTCTTCCAGCGTTGCCGCAGGTCCAGCAAGCGATGCTGATAAGGCTGTTTCTGGTGGTGATGCTGACCACAACTCTTCCTCTTCCTCTTCACGCTCATCTACGGCCTGATCCAGCACTCTTCGCAGGGCACGCTCCAGGAAGAAAACAAAGGGTATGATGTCGCTGATGGTGCCTTCGGTGCGACTGACTAGGTTTGTCACTTCCTCAAAAGGACGCATGAGCCTACAGGCATTGCGCATGAGCGTCCAGTAATGTGGCAAAAAAATTCCCAGCTCCGCAGAGGCTGTCCTAGCACCCCGGTCATACAAATACTCATTAACGGCTTTTTCTTGTTGGAGCAGGCGGTCATTATGAGTGTTGAATTCCAACGTGTCGGGCTGTCGCAAATCAAGCACCTCACTGGCATGTTTTTCGCCGCTAGATATCTGAAAAGTGCGCCATGGCCGTGTAGGAACGCCTGAAATGGCCACACACCTTTCTGGCCTGCTTCAGGACGTCCTGTAAGCCTGGGTACTTATGCACAAAGCATTGTACGATCAGATTACACACATGTGCCATGCACGGTACATGTGTCAACTCGCCCAAATGCAATGCCGCCAACAAATTTCTTCCGTTGTCACAAACCACTTTGCCGATCTCCAGTTGGTGCGGAGTCAGCCACTGATCCACCTGTGCGTTCAGGGCGGACAGGAGTGCTGGTCCGGTGTGACTCTCTGCTTTCAGGCAAGTCAACCCCAAGACGGCGTGACACTGCCGTATCCGGGATGTGGAATAGTACCTGGGGAGCTGGGGGGGTGCCGTTGATGTGGAGCAAGACACAGCAGCAGAAGAGGACTCAGCCGAGGAGGTTATGGAAGAGGATGGAGTAGGAGGAGTAGAGGAGGTGGCAGCAGGCCTGCCTGCAAGTCGTGGCGGTGTCACCAACTCCTCTGCAGAGCCACGCATTCCATGCTTGGCAGCCGTCAGCAGGTTTACCCAATGCGCAGTGTAGGTGATATACCTGCCCTGACCATGATTTGCAGACCAGGTATCAGTGGTCAGATGGACCCTTGCCCCAACACTATGTGCCAGACATGCCATTACTTCCTTTTGTACAATCGAGTACAGGTTGGGGATTGCCTTTTGTGTAAAGAAATTTCGATCGGGTACCTTCCACTGCGGTGTCCCAATAGCTAAAAAATTTTTTAATGCCTCAGACTCCACCAGCTTGTATGGTAAAAGCTGGCGGGCTAAGAGTTCAGTCAAGCCAGCTGTTAGACTGACAGAAGGGGGTGACTTTGTGACATTGGCTTCTTAAGCTCAAACATGTCCTTGACAGACACCTGACTGTGGGCAGATGAGCAGGAACTGCTCAAGGCGAGAGATGGAGGGGCGGATGGTTGAGAGGGGGCAAGGAGGACAGCAGTGGTTAATGTGGCTGAAGATGCTGGACCAGGAGGAGGATGGCGGCTTTGAGTTTGTGTGCTGCTTGTACTAATGTGTTGATCCCATAGGCGTTTGTGATGTGCGATCATGTGCCTTCGCAAAGCAGTTGTACCTAGGTGGGTGTTGGACTTCCCACGACTCAGTTTCTTTTGGCACAGGTTGCAAATGGCATCGCTGTTGTCAGAGGCAGACACACAAAAAAAAATGACACACTGCTGAGCTCTGGTAGTGGCAACAGCATGCGTTGATTGGCGTGCTGTCTGGCTGACCCCGGGTGCCGATGCATTCTGTCTGACTGTGCCACAAGCTCCTTGCGACGACCTCCCCCTGCTTCCAACTCATCTCCTCCTCTCTGTCTCCCCATCTAAACTTTCCCCCTGTTCTTCTCTTCTAGCGGGCACCCACGTGACATCCACGGACGCATCGTCATCATCAACCGCTTCACTTGTATCTGACAACTCAGCAAAGGAAGCAGCAGTGGGTACATCATCATCATCATCACACCGTACGTCCATGTGTGTAATGCTGCCTGCCTGAGACATATCCCTGTTATCAACATCCTCTGGCAATAATGGTTGCGCATCACTAATTTCTTCAAACGGATGTGTGAATAACTCCTCTGACATACCAAGTGAAGCTGCTGTGGTGCTAGTGTTGGTGGTGGCGGCAGGCGGGCAAGTGGTAACTTGAGAGGTGCCTGAAGCTAAGCTGGAGGAGGATGGTGAGTCAAGGTTCCCGAGCGGAAGCTGTAGAAGATTGGGTGTCCTGTGTTAGCCAGTCAACTATGTCCTCAGAACTTTTTGAGTTCAGGGTACGTGGCCTCTGAACACTGGGCATTATTCTAGGGCCAAAGAGAATCACAGCACCACGACCACGATGGCCCCTGTGAGGTGGCCTGCCTCTGCCTGTCATTTTTTTTTCGATTAGTGGTACTATGCGTGCAAGCTACTGTGACAACAGATATGAGTGGCACTGTGCAGTGGCAGAAGTTGGCAGAGTAGACGCTGTAGGCCTGGCACACACGCTTGCAGACAACTAACTGCTATTCAATCTATTACAGTCAAAAAAAAAATTTTTTTAAATGTACACTACTGTTACACCAGATATGAGTTGCACTGGTGTGACACTGTGCCCTGGCAGGCCCTGAAACGCACACGTGTGAAGGAAACTGACTGCTATTATATTACAGTCCAAAAAGTTTTTGTTTTTTTTAAATGCAAGCTATTGGGACACCAGTGAGTTAGGAGTCACAGTGTGGAATGGATTAGCAGGGTCTGGTGCAGGGAACCGCACACCCCCTGGTGTTGAGCACCAGCGTTTGTGCGGACACATACCAGGACCCTGATGCAGCTTCAGCGAGCAGAAGCAGGCGATAGTGGAGTTTCAGCTGCAGCACGCATAGGTCAGTCACTCTGCACCAGACTTGCCCTCCAATTGATCCAAGTTAAAGGATTTAAAGTGGACTCATTACAATTACAGGGGTTCGAAAGAGTAGTGTATTGTTATTTGTCATCTCTACATCCGCGCGTTGGGAGTGGGTAATTTGCGCGCCTGCTGCCTTTCTTGCATGTGGTAGCCATTTTTCAGGCTCCCTCTCTAGAATCGAACCCTGATTCCCCGTTACCCATTGTCACCATGGTAGGCACAGAAAATTGTATCGAAAGTTCATAGGAAAGACATCCAAATGCGTTGTCGCCATCACAGGGACGTGCGATCGGCACGAGGTTATCACAGACAAGCGCAGCCGCCTGTCCACATCCAACGTGGACAAGCTCATGTTTATTAAAATGAACCAGGCATGGATCCCACCAGACTTATCTGTACCTTGTGCAGAATAAACAATTATACAGGCCTCACCCAGCCATTGTTATACTCAAGTGCACTTATTCTTTTTTTTTTATATGTTTTTTATATGTCCCTATTTTGGGGGCTACCCCAATAAAAAATAAAAAAAAACAGTGTTGGCTACATCCTCCACCACCGCCGCTTCCACCTACACCGCCATGATGTATACCCAGATATATCAGAGCTGCTGCAGAAAGTGCGGGACATCTGTGCGTGCTTTTGGCATTCTCACCCTGCTGCTACTCGCCTGTCTGCGCTGCCGCAACACTTTGGCCTTCCCGCTCATTGCCTCATATGCAATGTGCCCACAAGGTGGAACTCCACCTTGCAAATGCTGGAGAGACTGTGCGAGAAGCAGCAGGTGATAACGGAGTTTCAGCTGCAGCAAGCACTGGTCAGTCGCTCTGCGGAACAGCACCACTTCACCACCAATGAGTGGGCCTCCATGCAAGACCTGTGTGCCATGTTGCGCTGTTTTGAGGACTCCACCAACATGGCCAGTGCCGCTGACACCATTCTCAGCCTTACTATCCCGCTGCTATGTCTACTTAAAAAAATGCTTTGGGCGATGATGGATGAGGATGTGGCACAGGAGGAAGAGGAGGAGGAAGAGCGGTCATTTCCACGGTTATCAGGCCAGTCATTCACAAGTGGCCCGGAGGGTGGGTTCCTGCACCAGCATAGGCCAGGTACACAATTGTCCAGCATCTCCACACTGTCCCATGGAAGCGTTCAGCTGTCCATCTCCCAACACTGGAGAGAAAGTGGAAGTATCCACCTACCCACCCGCAATCCCTGGCCCTGAATGCCAGCATTTCAAAATTTACTGGCCTTTGAAATGCTGTCATTCCGTCTGGTGGAGATGGACAGTTTTAAAAACCTGATGGCGTTATTGAACTGCAAGAAATGCACCGCAGGCTGCAAATGTTTATTTTTTTTATATGTCCCAATATTTTGGGGGCTACCCCAATTAAAAAAAAACAAAAAAAACAAAGAAAAAACAGTGTTGGCTACCTCCTCCTCCTCTGCTTCCTCCTATACCGCCACGTTCACCGTCTCCTCAACCTGTGGGTTCGTATAAACTATGTACACAATATCAGAGGCTTGTAAAGACCTTTTCTCCATGCATCAGGAGTTGAGCTCAGTTTGAACAATGAAAGAGAATACCCTGCACTCCAACCCTTTCTCAAATGGATAATTCTGGTGATCCTCCTGACAGCCGTGCTTTAGATTTTGATTTATGTTCTTCCAAAGCTAAAATCAAAGATTCCATCTAGTGCTATTTTATGGCTCATCTGTATTTTTTATTTTTATGTATTTTATGTTATTTTAATTGATTTCCCTATCCACATTTGTTTGCAGAGCTCTTGTCCTACTCTTACCCCCATTTCACTTCCTTTTGCAGCCCTCTAGCCCTTTCCGGGACTTTTTTAGAGCCATTTTAGTGCACAAAAGTTCGGGTCCCCATTGACGTCAATGGGGTTCGGGTTTGGGGTCAAGTTCAAACCCGAACCGGGACTTTTTCCGAATTCCACCGAACCCGAACATCCAGATGTCCGCTCAACTCTATTGAGCAATAAAACTTGAATTGTACTCTTAATAGTTGATAACATAAAAAATTATGCTGACTGTTATTTACATCAATTATTTAGGTAAAATAGAAAAATATAATTTGCATAATAATTTGGAACAGGGTATATATATATATATATATATATATATATATAACGTTTTATTACATAACCAGTTAATGCAAGGGTCGGGGGTTTTACCTCACGGGATACTATTTAGAATACGTCTGTCGCTATATCTAACGCCGGTTAGATAGCTCATACGTAATTACATACTAATCTGTATATACAGAGTTCCTTTGCATGGTACTCCTATTGTCCTCATATCATACGTGTATCTTATTTCTAGGATTAGCAAGTTTCCTGATTAAACTGGGACAGAGTTTTTTTCCGGCCAATTGTGTTTCCATTTCCGTAGACTCATTTTCTTACACTCGTCTTCTATCATAACCGGTACATTAAGGTCTCATATTGCCTTGTACGTTTACACGTTAATGCTCAGTTAAGGGGCTTGTCTTAATCATCCTACGTTCAGGAACCTCTATACACGATCTTACAAATCTCCTGTTGCGCTATCCATTTCCTACCTATGCTAGCAATTCCATTGACAAACTTTAGACAAATAGAATTACTACACACCAAAAAATAAAAAAAAAATATCATCCTTTGTTCCGTTTTACAATCATACATTTTACTTATCCCAAATATCCCCAATTTTCTTCCAGGTGCATATAAGAGACTCCTATCCCGTGAGAGTTATCTCTTAGGCTCAGTTAAGAGTAAGTTTTATATTTATATTCACTGGGATTACCATTACTCCACTTATGATTAGTTAATTAATTGATCCTTTTTCAAAATAGGCATCTTTTATCTTGCATCATCCCTCCAGCGTCCACTCATGGCCTTTCTCATCTGGTTATTAGGTACATATGGTTACATTCATGCTGTTTTCCATAAAGACAAGCCCCAGCCAGGGATAGAGAACTGGCTGCAAGGGACAGGATCTGCCCCTAATATTTTAAATTCTAGTTCCTATGAGGCCTCCCACATCACACGGAGGTATCACTCACACAGAAAAAACACGTTAGTAAAAGGGCCTCATATCCCCTTCTACAGGGGTTGGTTTAGAACGTCACATGCCACGGCCAAAAGTTTTTCTCTATACTGTCACCAAGAGGCCAACATCCCACCACATCGTCCGGTGGCCACAGTTCCCCATGGGCCAAATCATAGGTAGAGTCTCTCCGCGCCACTTGGAAACTAGCTGGGATTCACCTATCACGGCTAGTTAAGTTCTTCACCATTGGCACTAGCTAGCAAGCCAGTTCTATACAGTATTTCACCTTTGGCTCAAAATTATGTGTTTACTAATCTCTTCATAGGATGTCGCAAGATTCACCCCATGAAGACAACTTGTCTCTACAGGGCTCTCCCCCTGGGCCCAGTACACTTATTAGACCGATCTCACCAGCCGTATCTCTCGTTACCACTACACCTGGGTCTCTGAGGTCTTGGACCATCCCTAAATTGGTGGCAGAACTATTAACGGTCCATTCAAACGATCACAGGCCCAGCACAAGTTCTCCGGATCCTAATGTCAGCCGTTCGGGACAATTTCAAGACACTTTGTCATCCATATTGTCCAACCTTCAGTCACTTAAAGAGAGGATGACCAAGATAGAAACCATAATACCTACAGTTACCAGCGCACCTCTCACTCCAAGCCCAGCACCTGCACCTACAAACACGCAAAGTAGGGAAACTACTGTCACTCCCTCCACTTATCACAGTGTCAACCCAGTTAATTCCGTTAAAGCTTCCATTAGGAAAGACCTTCTGGATGGCAAGGATGTTAGCCTAGTCTCTCTCCTCATAGCTTCTCAGGATATTCTATAGAATAGAGCTTTTTGGAGACATGTCGGTGATCCTCAAAACTAGGGACCCACATCTCAATAAAAAGCTCTCCATCCCCGAATTCGTTATCGGCTTCGGACTATACAGAGATGTCATCTGCTCTGTATACCCTCAGAGGCAAGATGAATTTGATCTCTACCTACACAAGGTAGTGGACTTAGGGCTCAAGTATGGGGGTTTCGCTTTCTATGACTATCACAGGTCAATTTCATCTAAGGCAACAGTGGCTCTGGCCCAGTCCAACACCCGATCGATTGGAGTCAGTTGGACACAGAGCTGTTCTGCAGGCATTTCGCCAGCTTGAGACCCCCATCTTGTGCAGTTTGCTCCTCTACCTCACACTCCTCCAATTTGTGTCCCTGCGAAGCAGAACAATCTACATCCCATCCTACAACCCCTCCGTCAGTCAGGACAGGGGACAAAGAGACAAGCTGGGCAGACCAGTAGTATTCCTGGGCAAGGCACAAATATGCAACAACTTTAATGCTGGAGCATGAACCTGTTTCAGGGCACATACAAAAGCCATGTGCCCTTCCAAGCTTTTCCCTAGGAAATGACTGACGGTAGGAAACACTGACACCTTAGTTAGCTTTTACACACCCACCCCTCCCCTCACCTGGTGCAATATTCAATTTTTGCTTTGACTGTAGGTTTTCACACGGGGTTAGTAGCACTCCCAACAGGCACTGGAACTTCCTAAACGTTCTCTCTGCAAACTATTCATCTGCCATTGTCAAGTTGCTAAAGAGAAAGACCACTTCAGACTTTATGCTTGGTCCTTTCTGCAACATGCTGTTTCCACATGGCACTCTAACCCTAAGTGTAGGGTTTCCAGCAACACATCTAATAAATACTATTGATTATTGATTTGTCAGCATCTCATTCTCCAGAACCATTACATTTGCAGAAACCCTGCACCTGCTGCTTCTGAATACGGCCAGATACCCAGCTACCTTAAACAATCGGTCGAATTTACCAGTCTAAGCAGGACCCTTCACTCCAAGGAATATCCTTAACCATGGCACTGACTTCGGCACTAGGTGCCCCACTTATCCCTTGTCATACAACAGGCCACAAGACATTAGGTATTCCCGGGTATCTCACACGACCCATTGTCCAGTCAGGCATGCCTCCCCATTATGTAGATTGGTATGCATCTGGCAAAAACTCGACCAGTTCCTCCAAAGGTACAGGTACTCGTAGGGACCCCCAATCTCTACTGGGATACCTAAGTTTGCAATGCGTATCATTTCAAAGTAAATCCAACATTTCCTAGCTACATTCACTCCTACACGGCAGACTGAACGTTGGCAACATAGTCCTCATCACACCAGCATAACCGACTTTATCATGAGGAAGCTTCTCCCTACAGAGCGGAACAGCATAACTATGTTCATTCCCCCACTGACCAAGCACTCTCCTGTTATTGAGACCACGCAGCAGGTCACTCATGCTTGACTACAATTGGTAAGCACTGGTTCAAGGACATGTGGCAAGGTAGCGCCTGCCTTACCGGCCTTCATGGAAACTTCTGCCTTTCGAGATCTATCCTAGTGTAGCAGCAAACTATACTTGGGGGAAAGCATCTGTGGACCGGTAAGGCAGTCAAGCGTTTCTCAGGTTTAGCATTTTTATTATCCTTAATAAGGCACGCTTCCTCCTCAAATATTACGCAGTGTATACGGTATTGATTGTAGATGGTCACCATACTACAGTTCTTATAGCATGCAAACACAAGACAGGCATCCATTATATGACTGCTGACACCTTGTCCCATCTAACTTTCAGGCGTTCTACAAGGCTCATCCCGTCACCAATCAACTCCCATCCAGAATACCAATATTACCAGAGTTAACAATGGATTGACAAGATTGTTGACCCACGCACGGTCACTCTCACATAACGCTCTGTCCACCAACACCAAAATAGCCTATGACAGTGCTTTGACTGTGTTTCACAAATTTTGTGAGGAATTCCACGTTTCAGAGAATTATTCTATCGAGACCATGGTGGCTTTTGCCTCCTTTTGCCACTTAAACCTTAAACTAGCATTTATTAAATTATATCTTACAGGTTTACAGCACCATGTCCTCACTACCTTTCTCAATCACTTACCTTTTCTTTCCACATACCCCATCAAATCTATTCTCAAAGGCATCAACAAAATAGACCGACCTCCAACTACCAATAGATTATCCATAGACGGTACCATATTCAGGAACATGTCAGACTTATTGGACACAAATCCCTTTAATACCCAGACTAACTCCGTCATCAAAGTAGCCATTTACCTTCCTTTCTACGGCTTCCTCAGACACAGAGAATTTACTGTAATACTTCAAACAGATATCAGATCCTGTTTAAAACTATCGGACATTACCAAACCATTACGTGATGTCTCTACACGTATAAAAGCAATCACATAAACTACCCAACTACAATCCCTCTGTTTCCTACAGAGAACCTCTGGTGTCCCGTTAAAATACTTGACTTATTTCTATCCACAAACTTCAGTCTCCCTTCTAACTCTCCCCTACTTCTTCTTCACGAACACTCACTTACCACTTCAAAATTCATAACCCACGTTAGAACACTACTGCTAAGATTGGGACATAATCCGGCCGCATTTTCCAGTCATTCCTTTAGAATTGGGGCAGCCTCCTCAGCCTCTAGCATGGACACACCAGTCCATATCATCAAATGACTGGGCAGATGGAAATCCTCTGTTTACAGCACTTATATTCCACATCCTGAAAAAAAAAATCAGTAAAGACTTCAAAGGTCTAGCATTGTAAATTATGAATAAAGTGTGTTTTCTGCAATATCTTTTGCCCTCTTTATTACAGGCCTACCCGTACGTTGGTTTCGGCACACCACTACCAACTTTCCCTTTTTTCTTTATTTTCATATATGAATTAAGTTCCGACTACAAATATATATTCCACAGAAATATCTTGAACACATTCCCCTGTATTGTCGGGTGCCAAAACCAAGGTTTTAATAGATAAAAGGTAAATGGTGAGGCTACACTATCTTTTAAAAAGATCCAATATTTATTTATGCAATTAAAATTAAACTTTTTAGTCCTCTCAGGGACTTCTGGGTGAGGATATTGTATGGTCACTTCTGGGTTCTGGTTTATGCCAATAGGGAGCTGCTCTCTCGCCTGCTCAGCACAGTAAGAACCGCTCACTCCACGAGACATCATGCACCCCGGGAACATCTCCAGCCCCTCATGTGGCTACCAGCTCAGACAGTTAGAGGGAAATAGCATCAATACCCGCGGCGGTATCTAGTTTCCCGCACTTTTCTATTTAAACTGTGAGTAAAGCCGGCCGCTCCAGCTAGTCCCAAGAGTCTCAGCCGAATTATGCTTCTACTTCTCTGTGGCATATTTTGCACGGTCTGCTTAAGGGCTTGTCAGCAAGTCACACAGAGTTACTCCTCAGACACTTCATTTTCCTCCTCCAAACTATTCATAGCTAAACCTTTTGCGTCCAGCATATTGGGTCACGCCTATGAATCAAACATACTCCTGCTCCTTCCCAATTTTTATTTTCCCCTCTATCACTTATGTTTAATAGTTCCTTACAAGCTTCCTGTCCTTTGTTAGTATTTACTATGTATGTTGTCTTAGGCATCTGGTTTCTATCTGACCAGATACCTCTTTGATATCTGATAATGGGATCACAGGTAGTAGGGAACTTTTCTTTCATCTATTATTATGTTATCACACTGTCTATGATTCTTACATTTCTCGGGTGTTTTATAAGTTAAATGTCACGTAAAAGATACTTGCACAACGCGTTTCGACCAAACCATATATGCATCTCAGGAAGACCCTGAGTTTGGTCGAAACGCGTTGTGCAAGTTTTACTTTGTTTTATGTGCAATAAAGAGTTTTTAACTTCATCGGGTTCCTGGCTACCATTTAAAGGAATATTACTCCTTTCTGAAGGACCTGGCACTTAAAGTATTCTACCCTGAATCATCCTGAGATTGATGAAATGCCTGTACAGTCTAGAGTCAACTTCAAACCGGCTCTTTAATTTATGAGTGTTCCAAGTTATCTCACAATTCAGATTTTTGTTTACATACTATACCATGATATTCTTATCTTTCATATTAAATAGGTTTTAATTACCATTACCAACTGCAAGGTTTTACCATCGTGTGTGCAATCACCTTGTTCTCTGTTTGTTTTTGTTTTTTTGTAGAGTGTCAGCGCTTCCAAAAAAAACCCCAAAAAACTATCCTTAATAGTTAAAAAAAAAAAAAGGAAAAATTGGGGGCGTGGCCAAACGGCAAAACGGAATGGCGGCTTAAACGCTGAGCTCCTCCGATTCCGCTCTGCTGATAGTGCGAAAGCTGCCATTAACAAAAAAATGGGGAAGCACTCCAAGCCCTAGTACCCCCAAACCATTGGGGTCCCGTCAGACGACCATCAATGCCTCTATGCGGCAATATATGGCCGCGACACCAGACCCAACCTCCCAGGTGCCATCTGAGGACTAAAAGATAAAAAAGGGATTGGTTAGCGCTAATTATACAATGAATAGGCAGCAACCTTACGGAGGGCAGCCCTCTCACCCTCTCTGTTATAAAAAATTTTATAAAAAAATAAAAAATGCAATAAAGATTAAAATAATATATATATATATATATATATATATATATATATATATATATATATATATATATATAAAAGAGAGTACAATAAAAATGTCTGAGGTTAAATAGACTTGGTCAGTGTATTTGCTAGTAGAGTGTCTTCTATGTTTCTA